TTTCCAATAGTATTATGTTTTGCTATGACTATTAACAAAAGTCAAGGTCAAACATTGTCATTTGTTGGCTTATTTTTAACCAAGTCAGTGTTCACTCATAATGATCAGACAGGATTAAAAATATTAGTCTTAGATGACAATGGAAATCTTTGCAGCCATACAAAAAATGTTGTATACCCTGAAATCTTTCAAAAAATTTGGTACTAAAGCAAACTTTGTTGTGTGTAGATTCAATTCCTCAAATATTATTCTTTTTACTTTGCCTTTCTTTTCTGTGTTATTATAAATCATGCATGAGGTATATTTTCTTTATTCCAGAAAAAAATATTGCATTGAATAAATTCAGAATCGACAAGATATTCGTCCGAACCCGTGCATTGCACGGGTAGGAGTACTAGTACTACTAATAATTCAGCCTAATGGAGTTTCCATGGAAAATGCAAAGTTGATTAAATAAACAAACACCGAAAACAATTATGTAATACACAATTCATCTAAATAAATGTCCAAAAACCAACTTAACCAAAAAATTTAAATTTATGATTGTAGTCCGGAAATTTTCTTTTATATCCTAGCAAGCCCCTCACGTGTAGGCATACTTTTTTTTTGAAGCATTGCACTTGAAATTTTAAAATTTTAAAATTTGATAACCCTGAATTTCAAACGCGTGACCTCTTAATTAAGAAGAATCTGATATCATGTTAAGAAAAAGAACTCAACCAAAAATTCAATTTTGTGATTATGGTAGATGAAATTTTTTTTGGTATTCTAACAGATGTACAGTCACCTCCTACTTTATATGCATACTACCTTCGTATATGGTATATTAATTCGACAAAGTAACATTTTAAAAATATTTTATAAAAGAAATATATAATAAAATTAATTTTGTATTAATATCTAATACTCAAAGATAATTTTTTTTAAATATTAGCATCTCACCACGATCGATATTATAGATGGTAAATATATGTTTGTGAATTTATACACACATTTTATAATCCTTTGTGCACTCTATTTTTTCACAAATGACTATCCTCTTCATAGACCAAATTTGTGAATTCTTACAAATTCTGATTTATTTTATGTGTCAAACATTTAATATAATTGTTAAATATAATACTCCCTCCGTCCAAAAAAGAATTTCCCGGTTTGACCCGGCACGCACTTTAAGAAAATCTGAAATTGTCCTTGACTTTCCCATATTACCCTTTAGTGGGTTTGGACGTGATATGTGCAAAAGAAAAAAGGAAGATAAACTTTTTGATTTGATACATAATGATTAAAATATCAAAAGTAAAAGTACATTGCAATGATTAAAAATCCTTCATATTCCACATTACACGGCACTTTTGAGTGCCCAAATTAGCAAAAAAATTCATTTCCCTCCACAAAGTTAAAAGTTCCCACCCAAATGTAAAGTCTATAAGTACTTTCCATTTTTAGATTTCCATTTTTAGATTTCCAGCACTGCATCATTCTTTGTTTCCTTCTCCACTGCCAGGTTCTTTCTTTTTTTCTTCATTGCCAAATTCTTCCTTTTTTCTCTTTGTTTGTTCCTGCCATGTGAGAATTTTTGTCTCCAAACTTCCTTCTCTTCCTACCATGTGAGGGAGCTTTTCTTTTTCCCTTTTCTAGTGCTGCCTTCACAGCCATATCAATCTCCGGGATGGAACCGTCAATACCAACACAGACACTGCACACAGATGAAGAAAACACACAAGGTAAAAGGAAAAAAAACTGTCAAACTTGGAACGACAAGGAATTATCGACAAGTTGCTACTACAAGCAAAAACAAACATCATGGGCACGCAAACTGCTCAGAGGGGCTCTGTCAAAAGTGTGGCTGCTGAGTTCAATGTTAGTAGAAGGACAATCACTTCGTTGTGGACGACAGCTAAGGAACAACTACAAACAGGCAGTTGCATTGACGTAAGAAGTAGAATGCCAGGAAATGTTGGAAGGAAGAGATGTTTAGTTGACTTGGAGTCCATTTCAGAAGTTCCATTGAGGAGGAGAACAAGCATAAGAGCACTAGCATCAGCAAGGGGGATCTCAAAATCAACAATTCACAATTGGGTGAAACGAGGTATTATTCGAAGTCACACTAATGCAATTAAGCCCACACTTACTGATGCAAATAAGAGGCAAAGGATGATGTTTTGTCTGCAGCAGTTAGAAGAATCCAGTATCCC